TTATTTAGAATAGATTATTAAAATAATGGAACAAGATATTACAATATTAGATAAGATGAAACAGCAACTTTAAAATAAAGAGTATTTGACTCTTAAGTCATAAATCAACATAATCAAAAGGTTTTATTCAAAGGAAAAAAAAAATTAAATATGTATACTATGAGTAATTATAATAGAAAAACAAATAATATAATTAAATAATATTCTTGATACAATTTAAAATATGGTAATAGAGTTAAGAAAAAATAGTGATTATAATATTTCTGCTGATTAAAATCAAATCAAAATTGAAGAAATTATTTAAGAGAGTGAAGATAAAAAATAATAGAATATCAAATAGTCTGAAAGATTATTAAATGAAGGTATGCCCAATTGAATTACTTTTTAGGATGGGCATTAAATAATTTGAATAAATATTAAGAAGCCATTGAATGTTATGACAAAGCAATTTCCATTAATCCTAAAAATGATCTTGCTTGGAGTAATAAGGGTAATTAATTGTTAAAAATTATTTTTAGGATGGGCATTAAATAGTTTAAATAAATATTAAGAAGCCATTGAATGTTATGACAAAGCAATTTCCTTTAATCCGAAGTATGATTTTGCTTGGAACAATAAGGGTAAATTATATTATCATTCAGGTTATGCACTACACAAATTATAGAAATATTATGATGCAATATCATGTTACGATTAAGCTCTTTCTTTTAGAATTTTACCTCTAAGATTATAACGAAAAGGTATCTAAAACTTTAATTTATTTTTAGCTGATTCACTATTTGAATTAGGAAAGAAAGCAGAAGCTAAACAATGTTATTTGGCTGCATTGGAAAATGGATCTAATGATAAGAATTACATTTAGGAATAACTATCAAAGTTATGAAGCATTATCATATTATTTATTTCATTTTATAAGATCAAATAATTTATAATGTTCCACTCTTTCTTTTTTTAAGTTGCAAGAATTTTCCTATTATTTCTCACATATCATAACCTTAAATTTAGGTTAATCAAATTTACTGAAATTTACATCCAGTATCATCAAAAACGATTTTTTTAATTTTAAGTTTACATACTCTTTCTACAAAATAAAATAACAATCATTATTTCAAAATCCTAAAATTTAATATAATTAAGGCCATTATTTTAAAAAAAAATCAATTAAATTAATATTGCTATCTTTCCTGATTCCGAATCTTAGAACACACTTAGATTCTTCTTTTTTTTAATAATAAGTTTTAATGTTACGGCTAATAGCATTAGGTTGTAACAGTATGATTTATTATTCACTGGGCACTCAAAAATATTGAATCTTTTTTTCAATAAAATAAGACTTTAGATAATTTTAAAGTAGAAGAGGCTAATCTGACAACAAAGAATACTACTATTTAATAAAATTTATTTGCCTTTTCTATTTAAAGGATCCAAAATTATTAAAAAAAATCATATTAATGTTTCATCCTTATCAGACTAATTTTTCAAAAAAATGATTACGCAAATCCCTCTATTTTCATCTGCAAAGGATTATGAAAGATCAAATAAAAAATTAACTCATAATGTATTTTATTTCCAAATGCAGTGGATGGATTATGCACCTTAAGTAACAACATGATAGCGCCTGCTAAAATTGATATGAAAAAGTTGCTAATGCCTTGAAATTAAACTGATATAGAATCTTTATTGCAACTAAGATTGTTACAGATAGTATGAAGAAAATCTATAAAATATAGATATGTCTAATATAGACATGATTTTTTGAATTAAGAAATAACCATTCCTTCTAATTATGAACTACTCTTCTTCAATTATCAATTTTTCATTATATTTAAGATCTAAAAATTGTTTCGAAAACCTAAACTAACCAAAAATTCTTCTAGGGTCGAAAAAACCTTTTTATAAACTATTATAGATCTACCCTATAATGTATTGCAAGATCTATTCCTATTTCTATCTCAAATTATTCATTTTTATTAATCCAAATAAATGTTGAGCTAATAAACAACATAATTTTCTATTTTTTTTATTATAACTAAGAGCTTAATAGGGTTTATTAATGCAATAAAAATTGATGAAAATTATTTAAAAATCATTCTGCACCTTTTTTTATTTTAAAATGGATTTTATTTTAATGCAAGATTCTTTTCATAATATGAGTATTTTGAAATTAGCAAAATTATTTGAGATAAAAAATATTTCATGATGGAATATTTTTAATCAAAATACTTTAAAGTATTTTTTAAGAATGTTTATCTTGTGAATCTGCATATTATAAGTTAGTTTATAAGGTAAAAACATTAATCTTTGTTTAAAAAATGGATAGGAGATGGATAGACTTTGAATTCAGATCTAAAAAATTGGTTGAAAGGTTATAGTTTGATAAACAGTTAATGTTCTGTTTCTCCTAACTACTCATATTACCATAACCAAATACTAGAATTACTTCAAGTTTTGACCTAATCTAATTCATAATCACATAGATATTTTTGTATAAAGTTAAAAAAATTAAATACAATACTTTTACATGAGAATTGAATAAAATTCAAAGCAAGAAATTAAAGCAATAATAAATAAACTATGACTTAAAATGGGATCCAAAAAAAGAAGATTTTTGAGTAACCCGAACAACAAAAATAATCTGAAATGAATATTGCCAGTACAAAAGCCAGGATTATTATTATTCCCTCTAAGAACGAGAAAATAAAATAGATCCAAAATAATGTCTTGTTTTACCTGACATAATAGTTTAAATCATAGATTGTATAATAATTAATTATAAAATTTTAGATTACTCTATCATTCCACCTCCCAAAATTTTTTGTGATATTAAAAAGGTTGTTTAATTTTCAAGTTTTCTCAAACTTGTTGGCTTAATTGAAGTTGTGAATTCATATTAGTGATTGATATATCATGACTTACATAAAAATGAGAAATATACTAATTAGAATGGTAGTAATCATAATTGAAATATCTTAGTTTACAAATTTTCAGAAGATTTGGTATCAACTATATACAATTAATGGTTTATTATATATGACCCTGAACACGTAGATACATCTTCAACTATTCTAGACTCTGGGATATATGGTTTATTTAAGTTTAATTCTGGTATCTTTAAATATTATAATTCTAATTTTTATGCAACTTATTTAATTGGATTGAAAATATCAATTGTAACTTATAATGATATTCCAATTTATTGTGGATTATCCATTATGATTACAGAAGCATTCAAATTATATATCTCATTATTTATGATGAATAATCTAATTCATTTTGAATATCAATTAAAATAATTTACAAATTTAGGTACTCAATAATGATTATTACTTCTAGCACCCCTTCATTATAAACTTATACTTCAATTCAACAATTATCTTTTAATTACATATATTGACATTCCTAATTTTCCATTTCTATATTCAGTAAAAGGAAATTACACGTAAATGAATAAATTATAAATTAGAGATGACACAGTAGGATGGGGATTATAACTTGTTTATGTAACACCAGGATATTGTCCTTAATTTTGTTAATTGTATGAGGTATAAAGACAAATTATTTTTTTTAATTACGTCATTCAAGTTTAAGATTTGTCAAAGTGGTTACTTTAAATATAAGGACAATAGTTACATAAGCAGATGCGATTAACCATATCAAAAATTAAATGGTTCTTATTGTTAAGATTTTGATGATGAAACACCATGTATCATTTTATTCTGTCTATATCTAGACTCTAATTATTTAACCTATGATTTTCTAAATAATACTGTCGATCCTTAGTATGGAAGTATTTATTATGAATTTATTATCCTATTAAAATGGGACGAATTTTATCAAAGGCTTAGATATATCTAATATTAATTATTATTCAAATTGAATTAAAATCCAGAATATATATTTTTCATATTTCAATAATCTAAGTATATTTGGAAGAGGAAAATATGATAAAGTATATGAAAGGATAAATCACGACTTGAATACAATAACAATAAGTTGGGAATGTTTTGGGCCAAATAATGAACAATTTCAAGCTTATTTTGGATTTCATAATTATTAAATTTTTATTCATAAGTGTTAGCCCTATTAATTATAATGCTCAGATTAGAGTACATGTACATAATGGAATAGTGATTATGATGCAAATGTAGTTAAATTCTCTTAAGAAGAATTTTTAAGTAACCAATATAATGATAAGGATTCTGTTAGATGTTTAGATTGTCCAATATCTTGTTTAACATGTACATCTAAAATAGATTTTTAAATATGCTAATCTACTTTTAAATAAACTAAATTAGGATAAATTTGTAAATTCAATATATTTGAAGATTCAAATCAATTATTTGATTATCCAATTGATTGTAATCAATGTTTTAAATTTAAGAACTGTATAAATTGTTTAATTAAAATAATAGATAATTAAAAAATCAATAATGTATTTGTATTGATGGATACTATCCAATTTTATAGAATCCTAAATGTGAAAAATGTCATTATTTTTGTTCCACTTGTACTGAACCTACTTTTAATGATTACTTAATTTTCAATAATATTGTTAATATTGAGAATATGGGATCAACATGTATTATTAAGAATTCTCTAAATCATGCATCTAGTGTCATTAATCATGCTAAACTTGTTATAGAGTAAATTGATGGTTGTTTAATTTGTGATATTAATTTAAATAGAATATTAAAAGATAAAAATGTGAATGTAAACCTGCTTATCATGAATTAGATAGTGTTTGTACAAGTATTAAAAATAATAATCATTATTGATTGCTTGATTACAGAAGATGTGTTATTAAGTGCATGTTATTTATTATGTATTAATAAATAATAATTATGACATATAATTACTTGTATTTCTTGTGATTCTGGATTTTTTTAAGTATTTGGAAAATGTGAAATTTGTGGACATTTACAAATAATTGAATATGAATAATGGGAAGATAATAATAACATAATGGATAATTTATGTTATAATTGTTAGTTTCAATATCCAACTCTTTGTAAAACTTGTGATGAATCAATTACTTTACCTTGTCCTGATATTTGTGGAGATGAAATAGTTATTGGAATAGAAGAATGCGAAGATGGAAACAATATTAAATATGATATATGTTTTGATTGCAAATATTAATGCTAATCCTAATGTACAAAATATATTAAAGGAGAGTGTTTTGAAAGTTTAACTAATGGATGGCAAATTGATCTAACAGTTCAACCGTGGTAATGTAAAGAAAAATGTGGGGATTTATAAATAATAGGATAAGAATAATGTAGAATTGGATGTTCATCTTGTAATTATGACACAAAAACTTGTTTAAACTGTGTATTACCTGAATTTGTTCCAGTAAAATATTATTGTAAAACTATCTGCAGAGATATGTTGGTTGTAACAGATCCTTATGGATTTTACTTGGAAGAAGGTGATGATGGGAATACAATTATTTATGATAAATGTATTAAGGATTGTAAATTTTAATGCTAAATATTATATATTTGAATTAGTTGTATATATAATAGATGTTAAATTAGTGCTACTGGATATAATCTATCTAGATAAATATATGTATACGAATTTGTGGAGATTAATTGGTAGTAGTTGGTGAACAAAGTGAGGATTCATTTACATTACTGTGTAAAGGTTGTTACAATTTCTAAGCAAAATGTTAAACATCATGTACTATTTGTGATAATTTTGGATTTGGATGTAAGGTCTGTAAATAAGGTTATTATTTAATCGATAGTTATTATTCAAACTGTAAATAATAACACAGGATGATTAAAATTTAATGTTTGGAGATGGATGTCATTAATGTTCTTTCACTTGTCCTATATCTCGTCCTAATTGTTTACGTGATATATGATTAAATTGTGCAATATAGCATTTTTATTATTAACATCAATACTATTAACTATTCGATAATATTTATTTAAAGGAAGATACTAATTTCTAATTTTTAGATATTATAATAACTTAAACTTTCATAGAAAATCCTAATTCAACAAGTAGAATTCAAATGAAGATATTAGAATTTAATTAATAAATTACACTCAGATTGGTTAATATTTTGAAATTATGAATTCAGGCTATCCATATATAAATATAGAAATAGATTTTCAATGTTAATAGAATAAAAAAACTAGAAAGCTAATTTTTTAAATCAAATTATTAGAAAGGTAATTATGATCAAAATTTAAATTATTGGGGATCGTGAAAAATATGTAGGAAGATTGTAAATAGGTAGTAAAAAATTTATCAAGAAAATCAGAAATTAGACTGAGCAATATTTATGTTGATAAATATATAAATTAAATAAAATCTATAAAATGCTTTGCAAGACAGGTCAAGTAATGAATACTAAACTAGAAATGTTTAGTTTATTGTCTTGCATATAAAAAGAAAGTCTCAGTAATTTTTAATTCAATAATTGCTCTTATTCGTATTTTACTGTTTGTTGGTATCTAGAGATTCGAAATCACTTTATTCTCTTAATGCTTAGATAATCAAAAGCCTTGAATAAGTTAAAGTTGATAATAGTAATCAATAAAGCTTTTTGGAAATTTAAACATATTTTAAATGTTTTTCTAAAATAAAAGGTTTTAATGAACTTTAGTTATTAATTTATTCCAAATAATTCTAAAATATCATATATTTTTCAATTTTTACTTTTTTTTTCTAATTCATTTCTATTTAAAAAAAATTGGTTAGTCTAATCACAACATCAATATTTATTATTCATAAAATTTTTCACAAATTACCTAATAATGATTCTTTTTTATAATTGCCAAAGTGTTGATAAAAATTAAATTTTTAATATTTATTGAGCATTGATTTGAAAGAAATTGGGTTAATAATTATCCAAAATTTTCTAATTTAGATCAACTTAAAAGATTATTTACTAAATGTGTGATGTAAATTTATAATTGAAAATCAAAATTGCATATAATTTTCAAAATGATATAATTTTTCCCAAATAGAATTTTATGCTCTATGAACCAAAAGATTTTTTTTATATACATAAACATATAATAACAAAAATTACAAAATTTGTAATGCAGACAATAATTATATTGCATAATCAAGATATTCATTTTATCTTTACATTTTATCTCTCCATTTTGCCAACTTAAGAAATCATTATTTCATTCATATCATTAAATTTAGCTATAAAAGTTATATTATTGATTCTTAAGTATATTTATTCAAATGGTACTCTCTTGGTCCATATTTCTTTTGAATGCCCATCCAGCATTCCTTCATTCTCCTTATGATAACTTGTAGTATTAAACCTTTAACCATATAAGCAGCATTATATGGTTAGGGATTATTCAATTATCCAAAAATTCTGAAGGCGATATCCTAGCAGTTGTATAAGGTTTGGTGCACCATCAGTCGAATAACCCACGACCAAGAAAGCCATCGCAATCACTATAATTTAATATCAATAAAAATCATTATGATATATAAAATCGAAAACTATTTTCTAATTCAAGTAGTTTTTTAGGAATATCGTAATGTACTAAAAGAGAAAATCTCTGACGTCATCTTCTTGAAGAATATTTGTAATATTAGTCTAATTGATTTTAGGATGATGTTTAAAAATTTCAAGAATGATACTAATAAATTCTCCTTAAGCATTATTATTTCAGAATGTTTTTAAAAATATGATAAACTTGAAACTTTGTTCAATTAACTATTGAAAGTTAATATCATTTTTGTATTCAATGCACTGAATTTAATTCAATTTAAAAAATCCTTCGTTTTCGTAAATATTTGTATTAAAGTATCTTATAAAATATATTATACAAGAAAATAAATATTTTACAGATAAAGCAAACATTTAATTAGTGAAATTAATTAATTGACTGTTAAGGTTTAGCAATATGAATAAATTAGTTAAATGAATATTACCAATATGTATTTAAAATTATGCTGATGGAGGTTATTTGGTGTACTTTTAAGCAAGCTAAATAAGTAAGATTTCAAATTGAAATAAAACTTAGTAATTAAAAAATTTAATTTATTTTATTAAATATGATTGTACTATAAAAAATATGTTCATGTGATAAGTATTAAACTTACCTTTGTTATATAAAGAATCGAAAGATTACGGATTGACTGCTAATACTTTTTCAAACCATTCAATTGCCAAATCATATTGACTTTCTCTTAAATCTAAAGGTATATTATAATAGTAATTTTTAGGTTTATGCTTAGAAGATCAATATAAATATAAAGAAGCCTTAATTTATTTTGACAAATCATTAAAGATAAACCCTAATGATCAATGGACAATAAATTAAAAGAGTATTTTTAACATATTAGATTAGAAATTTGTGAGAATAAATTAAAGCAATGAGTATTCAATATTAAAAATAATTATACTGTTATTTCCTTTTCAAATTATTTATTAATTCTCAATATGACAGAAATTAGAACATCCATCTCCTCCATAATAATTTCCATCATCTCATTCTGCATATTAATACATTATTATACCATTTCCGCATTGACTCATAAAAATGTGGTCAATTAATATTTGATTCTCTCCACATCTTAAATTTGCCTAATAAATAAGCTACATCTGAATTGATTAATCATTATCATAATCTTCATATTTTTATTTCATTCATTTAACTGTTTCAATATCGAATTGATATTAATCATCACATTTTTACATTAATCTTATTGACATTCAATACAACCTTCTGGACATTAAAATTCACACATAAAACAACCATCATATTGAATATTATTTCCATGTCACATTACTCATATGATCAACAACTATTCCATCTCCACACTTAATTGTGGATTTATTATGATATTGATTAAGAACCCATCCTGGCATGATACAAGCTTTACAAACCCAAAATTCACAAAGAACACATTATTCTTCACATCAAATTTTGCATTCATGACATCCATCGAATGGAATCGCATTTCCATCATCACATTCTTCCATACTCAAAATTATTTAATCTCCGCATATCGGAGTGCATTTATTTATATTAAATTCCCATCCTTCAATATTACACTCTTTGCATTAACCATTTTCGTATAGAGTACACTCTTTTTGCTTTTACTATTGCAATAAGCAATTATCACATCCATCATCACATTATTCATTTCCTAAAACTAATCAATCACCACAAATAGGTTATTATAGAAATAGTTTGAGTTTTCAAAATAACATTTAATAAATTAACATAAAAGATATACAAAATTATTCAAATAATAACAGTAATAATATAACACATCCAATTGCCATCCTAATGAATTACATTAAAAACAATTTCCATCAATGCAAGTTTTATATTCTTCTTAACATTACAATTTACAATTTAGACATAATAAATCAGATAGTAAATTGCCATTATCACATTATTCATCATGGGTTACAATTTCATCCCCAAAAACACTATAAAATATATTTTTTTATTTATCTAAGTAATAACTAATCTAACATTGAGTACATACACCATTTTAAGAAGTATGACAATAATAATTACATAAAAATAAGCATAAATAGCATCCATCATACTGTATAGAATTTGTATCATCTCATTATTCCTTATTAGATAAATAATCATCTCCACATAAAGATATGCATTAATTATTTAGAAAATGTAATAAATTTGTTTCCAAATAACTTATTATACATAAACTATTATAACAATGGATGTAGTCTTTAGAACATTCATATTAATTATTAAAACAACCATCTTCTGCTATCACATTCATGTCGTTTCATTACTCATTCTCTGTCGTTAGTCCATCATAAGTAATTTCAAAGCATTTTCCATCTAGATTTTAATATCCATTTTCGCATTTCTTACATTATCCAAATTTGCATTAAATACATGATTTTTAACATTAATATTATGAGAGATTAAAACCATTTATACATAACTGAATTATTGTCATCACATTATTCTGTACCAACAACAAAAGAATCTCCTATAATTGGGTTACATTTTTTATCTAAATTTATTACCCATCCTTCATTGTGATAAATCAAACAAGAATCCTAACAATTTTATTTACATTGATAACAGTTTTAATCTATTAAGTCATCACATTCTTCATAAAATTATACTGTAATTCCATCACCACAGATCGTTTCACATTTTTTTATGATTCATCAATTTCCATTAATAGCATCCATCATTTAATTAGTTATTTCCAACTTCTCAACCCTTTTCTTAATTTATTAATACACTATCTCCACAAATTCTAATACATTATTATAATGAAAATTCCCATTAATAACCTTGAATCCAAGACATACAAACTCCATTTTTCACATTATAAACAATTGATATCGCATTTAATTTAACATTATTTACAAAGACAATTAGAATACAGATTAATAGGTTCTAACTTTTTATATCTACCAATCACTTTCTTCATTGCATTATTGACAGATACAATATTTTGCAATGAATTCAACATTAAAATTAGCAATCAAAACAACCATCAAAAGTTAATTAATGATTATTTTCACATTATTCAGGATACACTAATAGGTCATCATTACATAATGGAATACATTTGTTTAATATTAATCGATAGCCTTTTTTACAATTTAGACACTAAGAATTTACAAAAGTATGATAAAATTAATCACAAGAAAATTAACATTAATGGCATCCATCTTATGGGTTACCATTTCCATCATCACACATTTCACTTAAATTGGCAACAATTCCATCTCCACAAATGGAATTACATTTTCCATCAATTTAAATGTACCAACCTTTATCTTCATTACATTTAACACATCTTCCAAAATGACAATATAAAAACTTAGGATAGCATTCATATTAACAATTAACACAGTTTCTTTATTCTTAATTGCATTATTGGAGTAATGTGATTGAATTACCTAACAAATAGAGCGACAGTCATTATTATACACATCAAATTCACTTTTNAAATAATCATCTCCACATAAAGATATGCATTAATTATTTAGAAAATGTAATAAATTTGTTTCCAAATAACTTATTATACATAAACTATTATAACAATGGATGTAGTCTTTAGAACATTCATATTAATTATTAAAACAACCATCTTCTGCTATCACATTCATGTCGTTTCATTACTCATTCTCTGTCGTTAGTCCATCATAAGTAATTTCAAAGCATTTTCCATCTAGATTTTAATATCCATTTTCGCATTTCTTACATTATCCAAATTTGCATTAAATACATGATTTTTAACATTAATATTATGAGAGATTAAAACCATTTATACATAACTGAATTATTGTCATCACATTATTCTGTACCAACAACAAAAGAATCTCCTATAATTGGGTTACATTTTTTATCTAAATTTATTACCCATCCTTCATTGTGATAAATCAAACAAGAATCCTAACAATTTTATTTACATTGATAACAGTTTTAATCTATTAAGTCATCACATTCTTCATAAAATTATACTGTAATTCCATCACCACAGATCGTTTCACATTTTTTTATGATTCATCAATTTCCATTAATAGCATCCATCATTTAATTAGTTATTTCCAACTTCTCAACCCTTTTCTTAATTTATTAATACACTATCTCCACAAATTCTAATACATTATTATAATGAAAATTCCCATTAATAACCTTGAATCCAAGACATACAAACTCCATTTTTCACATTATAAACAATTGATATCGCATTTAATTTAACATTATTTACAAAGACAATTAGAATACAGATTAATAGGTTCTAACTTTTTATATCTACCAATCACTTTCTTCATTGCATTATTGACAGATACAATATTTTGCAATGAATTCAACATTAAAATTAGCAATCAAAACAACCATCAAAAGTTAATTAATGATTATTTTCACATTATTCAGGATACACTAATAGGTCATCATTACATAATGGAATACATTTGTTTAATATTAATCGATAGCCTTTTTTACAATTTAGACACTAAGAATTTACAAAAGTATGATAAAATTAATCACAAGAAAATTAACATTAATGGCATCCATCTTATGGGTTACCATTTCCATCATCACACATTTCACTTAAATTGGCAACAATTCCATCTCCACAAATGGAATTACATTTTCCATCAATTTAAATGTACCAACCTTTATCTTCATTACATTTAACACATCTTCCAAAATGACAATATAAAAACTTAGGATAGCATTCATATTAACAATTAACACAGTTTCTTTATTCTTAATTGCATTATTGGAGTAATGTGATTGAATTACCTAACAAATAGAGCGACAGTCATTATTATACACATCAAATTCACTTTTACATTAATAAAATTTTCCATTTAAGCATATACAGCAAGGAATTAATAAAACTATTTAAATAATTTTGATATTCAAATGCAAAATAACAACCAAATTTACCATTAATGAAACCATAAAATGGGTTATTATTTCCATCATCACAATCCTGACCTTCTACTATTATTTACTATTATTGAATCACCACAAATAGGAAGACATGGTAAATTTATTCCATCATCATAATATCCAGGCAAACAGAAACATTAATATCTATTATTGCCTCTATTATAATAATCTCTTACACAAGTAAGACAATTATATTATGAATCACCATAGCAATATTCACAATATTTATTGCATTAAATGCAATTATCTCCTTATTTAATATAAATGGATTACATAAACAAATTCCATTAGTCAAATAAAATTAATTATTAACACATTAAGTACATTATTCTGAACTTTTAAATGAATTCAGTAATTGAATTAAAGTCTAAATATTAACTACCTCCACAATTGGGACCAGCACAGCATTCATCTGAACATTCTATTTAACTTATACAGCTAGAACAAAAAGGAGGACACTAAATCGTAATCATACATAAAATACATAATGAATGACAATCAAATACCTAGATATTGCACAAAATCCTTTGTTATATTAGCAGTTTCAACATCACATTTAAATTCAACATAAAGATTATTAGTATAAAAGTTTGTTAAACTAACATTAAATTATATAGTGCTTTCAAGATCAGTACGACCAATCAAATTTTTATACTTCCCCAATATTATTAAATGGTCCTTGCCATTCACTGCTTGAAAAAATTCCTATCTTATAGGAAAATGTTCCAGTATAACCATCTCCATAAGTTAAATTAAAAAATATCAATGCTGTATAATGAGGATGCTAAATAATCCATGTTTTGATATATGATCCATCATTCCATACCAATAAGCCACCCAAAACTATTTTATTATTAAAAAAATAAAATTGCTATCTTGCTGATAAATGATGGATCTGTTGTATTATCATAAAATCATTTAATCTGATCAAGAGTTATATTAAATCATAAAATCCTTATGCTAAATACCTTAAATCTAAAAATAAACTAATTATAATTTACATGGAATCATATCTTCGTAGTCAATACAATTTGTTGAATAAATACGACAAGATTAAACTTTTTATTTTTATATAATTGATATCCTGAATCACAATATGAGTAATTTGAGAAATATGAACAGATTAAACAATTTTCTTAATAAAATCCTGCGTCTAAAGTGAAATTTCTAAATCCCAAGATTCATTTTGATATTAAATTTATCCTTTAATTGAAAGATTTGAATTGGAATTAAAAAGTTAAAAAGTCTCTCTATTCTTAACAAAGTATAAGCATTACCATAACAAGTTTAATTCTTCTCAAAAATTTTCAACCTAGAATGAAGATGATTATTTTATTATTCTAGATTATATTTGATTATTTTATAAGATTTCAATATTGCTTGTATATTAGAAATTGAATAAATAAATGTTATTCTAATTCTTACAAATAGAGCATCCCTTCATTAAATTACAACCTTCCAATAAAACTAATTCCATTGAAATTTTCATTAATTAAATCCATATTTTTTGGATAAAATTCATCTAATTAAAATATCAAAGGAAAATATCTTTGATCTGATTAAGAGATTCTGTGATCTTCGAGTAAAGTACCTTTTATTTTATTCTATTATCATTGACACATATTTTATCATAACGAGCAATTCAATAATTCTTGCCGACAACCTATATATGCTTCAGAAAATATTAATCAGAAATACATTTTCCTCCTTCTGAGCTTAAATTGTTGAAATATGATAAACATTAAGTCTCTGAAGAACCCATTACAAGTTAAACAAGTTGGATGGCAAGTATTAACATATATCAATAAATTTCTAATCCTATTTCCATATCATTAAATTTACAATTAAAACAAATTTTAATTTTAAATTTATTGATGTTAGAACTTGCTATTTTAAGGGGTATATTTATCATCCTACTAATACTTACAACTATATAGAATTCAAATTTACCCCAATCATTTCGACATATTCTAACACTGTTTTAAGTTAAATCATCTAATTTTTAATTTTTTCTATAAAATTGCTAATCAATTTCTGAGGCTTTATTACTACTATAAATAACTTAAAATGATGAATTATCATCATCAGCTGCATCAAAAAAAAACATCAACAATAATTTAAACTTTAAAGCTCCCAAAACTTAATGATTTATTTAAATATTGACTATGTTTTTCCAATTTTAAATATACAACTTAATTTTCACTACCTTTTGGGAATGAATATTAAGTATCATAAGTAGTAGCAGAACAAGTATTGAAAATTCTTTATTAATTATTGAACATATTTATCCCTGTAAAACTTTAATCAATAAGTCTCCAGTTGGCTATACTTTGATATATAAGAATAATCAACCAAACCCAAATGTTTAGATGAAAAAACATAAAATGATTCGAATGCTTTAATTTAGCCAAATATTTAATAATCACAAATATCAGCATTTTAGCAAAATACCTTTTCAAAAAACTTGTTTTTTGTAGGTTATTATCCATTATATAAGAATGCAATCAAGAGCTTTTTATACCATCGAGCTTCTATTTTAAGTCACTGAACCAACCTATTCGAATTAAAGCTAGAGTTCTTGAACTGATTATATAATTTTATCTTCAATAAAATTGACAATACTTTTATTTATATAATGAAATTTAACAACCATACAAGTTCTATTTCTATTAGAACTCAAGGCTGTTAGCTAATTTTTGATTGAATCATATCAGTAAAAGATGATAAGATCAGTAGTAGTAAATTTTTCAAATTTTATGTTTTAAGGTTTTGCCTTTTTCTTTAATTCAGGTTTAATTAATGATTATTTAACATCACTTTAAAGATGTATAATCTATTTAGAATATGCAGTTGATGCTTCCTTTTATAGATGATATAAAGGAAAACTTTTAAGATAATTAATATCACAAATCGCAATTTTCCTTTTCATTCAATACGTAATTGTTTTTTGATGAATTATGTCGTTCTAATTCAAAAGAAATTTATTAAACTTTTAATTAAAATATCTTAATTTAAATAATTAGTAAAAGCATTCTCTATAATTGTTCAAGAAGTGCTTTGAACTAATAAAAAATGGTTTCAGTAATATATTAAGAACATGGAATACTAAATATATAGAAAAATTGTACCTTAATGTTAATAATTTAGATATGTTGTAATCGACTCAATAATGCTATTCAATTATAATTTAAAAAAAGGACAAGTAAATGAACCGAGGACGAAGATGCACTCACCTAAATTCTTCAAGTTACGACAAAGATCGCTCTACAATTTACTCTTTATTATCTTCAATGAATGAGGTAACAATATTATTAATCCTACAGGCCCATTTATGAAACAAAAGAAGATTTTAATTAAAATAAATAAATATGAGAGTGTCATTAATTTTTTCAAAAATTTTGTAAGAAACCATTTTTAGAGAAAAATATTAATCACAAGATAAGAGGAGTCACATAATTTTTTTAATTCTAATTTAAAAAGGAAAAAATAAGTATAAAATAACTCAATAAATAGGGTGGCCATACAATTAGTGCCCAGACAGAAATACTTTAGCTTCGGTTAGGATGGATGAATAAGGGATTAGATGATAAAAAATTTAAATTAGAAGAACATAGTGGAACTGTTTAGTTATATGCTTCTCTATCCTAATTGTACTACATTAGCATCAAGTAATGATGATAACTCACTTTTCTTATGGAATGTTGAGACAAGAGTAGTATATTGACTAAACATAACTACTATGTCCATCTAATCTAAATTTTTTATTATTTTTCGCTATAAGTGCTTTATTAGTATCTAGTTTTGCAAGTTAGACTTTAAGATCAGAAAAGACTTATGAAGTTATTTTTCTTCATTCAAAATATATAACACTCTATTAACCGAATGAACTATTTAGTTTAATATTATTTAGTCACTTCTAATATTATGATAAAATTATATCCTAATAGCCAATTTTGTAAGTATAAGGATCTTGAAACTTGAAAAAGAACTTATAAACTAATAAAGATTATACTTTTAATCACAAAAATAATATTATATATACTATATTGAATTAAAATATAATAAAATTGATATCGATTATTATGACCAAAAATAGTTAATATATGTTTCGAAATTCCTTATGAAATCTCAATTAATGGTCCAATTTTTATATCACTTTAATCAAATACCTTCCAAAACTTTAGATGTAAATTATATATATTATTTTATACAATTTACCTATGTATACCTTCTTAATCGAAACTCTTTTATATAAAATTAGAAATACTGAAATTGCTATTATGTTATAAAAATAATACTTTAAATTTCATCAGTTTACTAGTTAATTCTAATTTAAACTGCATACAATTATTTTGATTATAACTCAGAAAATCATATTCCATGATTTGCAAATATATTTTTCAATAAATTAATTTAAAATATTAGATAATAATGTATGATAATTTTTTAATTAATGGTAACAATTTAAATAATTAATATTAAAAACTATTTTTCTGCGGAAAAATCTTTTCTATTCTCCTGCCAGATGGGTAAACTATTTTTCCATGTTAGAGTTCTTTGGATTTAACCAAGGGAAAGCTTTGGCAATAAATCCAATGAAATGCGTATAATAACCGAGGTGGATTTCTAATAGAGCTCAAGTAATAACTTTTATAAAATTAGGTTCTCTAAGTGGATTTTGGTAAAAGAGGATAAAAATTTATTAGAAAATAGATAGGCATGAAATAATAAAGGTTAATGTTAATTATTGAAGATAGGTTTTATTTTTACGATAATAAAAATAAAGACTATGATAAGGATTAAACAGCTGTGATAGAAATTTTACTTATACTATTATTTATTTAGTGTATGAAAGACCAATTTTGAATTAATGATAAGTTTACAAAGTTATCTATCAAAATCAATATTGTTCTGATTACAAACTTAAACTATAGGATAGTTAAAATTTCTAACACCTTTCGTTTAATGATTATTTATCAGGTTGAGATTTAATGAATGTATATATTTTTATAATATGTTTATATAATTATTTTTCTGTTGCATTTTATAAAATATTATTTAAGAAATAAACACAAAATAAATCTTAAAGATAGAGAATAATTTAAATTTAGAGTAAAAGTGTTATTTCTATTATTTTCAGTGACATTTATATCTCTTATAAAATATCAATTAATAAAAGTGACATCGCACCATAAAATTTAATATATTTTAGTGTAGTTTAAAAATATAAAGTATTAATGATTAATAGATATTTTACAATTAATAATCAAGATAAACTAAAATTTCAAGTTAGGAAATCTTCTTATATTAATTTCTCATATGATTTACTGAATTAATATAATTACTTTAATATAAACAATTTTTGTAGTGGATGTATTTGAACATTCATTATATTATTATCATTTAATTGCCTAAATGTTTTTCTAGTAATTAATTTATTTCTTATATTTTAATGCTATTGGAGAGTAGGAAATTAAAAAATGAATATACTATTTAGCATTACTGATGACCTTATAATCTCAATTTTGTTTAGATTTTATAATAAATATAATACTAGAGATATACAGGTCTTAATCTAATGATGTTTTTCAAAAGTACCACAAAAAAGAGGCAAAAGTGTTCTTTGAAGAATAGGGAAGAAAAGAGATGTTGTATAGACAATCATTTCTATTTTGTCATTAAAATGAAGATTAACTTAAATATCTTTAAACTTTGAATAAAAATTTTCATAACTTTAATTGCTATCCTTTATTATTTTACTTNTTGCTATTATGTTATAAAAATAATACTTTAAATTTCATCAGTTTACTAGTTAATTCTAATTTAAACTGCATACAATTATTTTGATTATAACTCAGAAAATCATATTCCATGATTTGCAAATATATTTTTCAATAAATTAATTTAAAATATTAGATAATAATGTATGATAATTTTTTAATTAATGGTAACAATTTAAATAATTAATATTAAAAACTATTTTTCTGCGGAAAAATCTTTTCTATTCTCCTGCCAGATGGGTAAACTATTTTTCCATGTTAGAGTTCTTTGGATTTAACCAAGGGAAAGCTTTGGCAATAAATCCAATGAAATGCGTATAATAACCGAGGTGGATTTCTAATAGAGCTCAAGTAATAACTTTTATAAAATTAGGTTCTCTAAGTGGATTTTGGTAAAAGAGGATAAAAATTTATTAGAAAATAGATAGGCATGAAATAATAAAGGTTAATGTTAATTATTGAAGATAGGTTTTATTTTTACGATAATAAAAATAAAGACTATGATAAGGATTAAACAGCTGTGATAGAAATTTTACTTATACTATTATTTATTTAGTGTATGAAAGACCAATTTTGAATTAATGATAAGTTTACAAAGTTATCTATCAAAATCAATATTGTTCTGATTACAAACTTAAACTATAGGATAGTTAAAATTTCTAACACCTTTCGTTTAATGATTATTTATCAGGTTGAGATTTAATGAATGTATATATTTTTATAATATGTTTATATAATTATTTTTCTGTTGCATTTTATAAAATATTATTTAAGAAATAAACACAAAATAAATCTTAAAGATAGAGAATAATTTAAATTTAGAGTAAAAGTGTTATTTCTATTATTTTCAGTGACATTTATATCTCTTATAAAATATCAATTAATAAAAGTGACATCGCACCATAAAATTTAATATATTTTAGTGTAGTTTAAAAATATAAAGTATTAATGATTAATAGATATTTTACAATTAATAATCAAGATAAACTAAAATTTCAAGTTAGGAAATCTTCTTATATTAATTTCTCATATGATTTACTGAATTAATATAATTACTTTAATATAAACAATTTTTGTAGTGGATGTATTTGAACATTCATTATATTATTATCATTTAATTGCCTAAATGTTTTTCTAGTAATTAATTTATTTCTTATATTTTAATGCTATTGGAGAGTAGGAAATTAAAAAATGAATATACTATTTAGCATTACTGATGACCTTATAATCTCAATTTTGTTTAGATTTTATAATAAATATAATACTAGAGATATACAGGTCTTAATCTAATGATGTTTTTCAAAAGTACCACAAAAAAGAGGCAAAAGTGTTCTTTGAAGAATAGGGAAGAAAAGAGATGTTGTATAGACAATCATTTCTATTTTGTCATTAAAATGAAGATTAACTTAAATATCTTTAAACTTTGAATAAAAATTTTCATAACTTTAATTGCTATCCTTTATTATTTTACTTACATCTAATAAACCAAGAGATATAGTTATTCAATCACTATGGAATTACAATTCACAATTGTTATTATAAAGGTAATATCCATTTACATTTATCCATTATAAATGTAATCTAAACTATTATATGGTTCCACTATGAAATCTACAACATACCATCTATTATAACATATTTTCATCTATCCTTCTTTGGTTTTTAAAAAACTATGTAGATTTACTATGCTGATATTTTATTCTCTAACAATGCAATCTATAAAAAAATATGAAGGGAATATTTTTGTAATAGTAAGTAAAAATTACTAATTACTTTTATTTTTATTTTATATTCTAACTTCTTAACCTTAATTGTAATTAATTCTAGAAGCCATGATCATAATGGATTCATGATTTCCTTTTGCAAACATCTATCATTTACAATTTCTTTCTGATTAATAGTAGGTATATTGGTCTTATAATTTATATATAAATTCTTCTAATGATAAAATATATATATAAAATTAAGAATTTATTAATTCAATTAGATCTCTTAATAGAATAACCAATAATACTTAAAAATTATATATATACTAGACTTCAGTTTACCCTTCTTTACACACAATAAGTAAGCTCTTTATTCCTAAAACCTATAAATTTAGATGGATCATGAGTATCACTTTCTAATTTCTATTTGAAATTTTACACAAACACTCCTATTCATTTATACCCATAAATTTGTTTTCACAGACCTATGTTTTGACTCAATTTTCAAATTTCTAATAACAGGACAACTTAATCCAAAACCTTATTAATGACATGATTATATTTATTTAATAGTAGAAAATAGAAGAACGAGAATATTATTTGATAATAAATAATTTATATCAGATGATAAGAAAGAAACTACAATTGCAATATCTAAATAAATTTTATGTTTTTGCTTGATGATATTGACATCTTTTTTCAGAGTCCTCAATTATATTCTAAGTAATTGATTCGTTATTCTTTTAACTTTTTGATTTTCTTGATACAATATCAATTAGTCTTCTAATTCTTCATCCTAATGTTTTCTACTGTTGTAGTCTTTGTTATTTATTTCTTTTTTAATAAAGAGCCGTATCCCTAATAATTCTACCTTAATTTATTTATTATTTTAATTCATTAAAAAATAAAAAATCTAGAATTAAACTTTAACATTTAATAGAAAGATGCAATTAAAAAAAATTATAACTATTTTTTTCTAGTCTAATAAGAATAAGAATAATTAAAAAATTGAAGTTAAGGAATAAAGATGTATTGTTAATTTTCATCTAATTTAAATTTAATTATCCTTTAATAATCCTCATCACTTGGACAGTTTTTTTTATATGTAATCTTTATTTGCAAATTATTCATTAATGGTATTCAAATAGCATTATTTTGCATCGATATTTTTCCCAAAGTTAATAAAAGTGTATTAAACA